CACACATACAGAAAGAGAGAGAGAGAGAGTGAATCAGAGTCGTTGAATCAGCTTTTTACCCTATGAGAAAATTATCGATTGCACACGTTATAATTCAATTATATCGCATGCTTGGGTAGGTATGAAATCAATAAATTTTTTCTCATGGAGTAAAAGCTGGTTCAACGACTCTTATTTATATAAGTATTAAACATTATATTACTTATATATCGACTGTTAAAGCTAATAATTAAAATTATGAAAAAAGAATTGGTATAAATATAAGATCTGCTTTATTTTTAAATTAAAATAAAATTTTAATTTTTATCCTTATGTTTCTAGTATACATAAATATGTATTTTTTTCAGTTTGCACGTCAATACAGTAAAAATGATGCAATAACATTCAACTGGTTATGCCAACACATTGGATGGCCCTTTCGAATGCCAAAAACTATCATCGACCTAGTCCATTTGGAAGGCGTCTTTGATGTATTAGATCTTTATTTATGGCTAAGGTATAATGAGATTTTTATTATTCTTAATTATGTTTTATTGTTTTTTTGACGTTCTCATTTTCATTATCTTATATTCTGTAGTTATCGTTTCATGGACTTGTTCCCGGATGCTGAAATAGTCCGTGACATTCAGAAGGAACTCGATGCACTCATTGAGGCAGGAATAGTTAAATTAACAACTTTATTGTTCAATTCGGAAGCAGGTAAGCGTAGTTGTTGTTGTTGTTTTTTTCTTTTTTTTTACAGAAAATATTTATAATATAATTTAAAATCTTCCGCGCATAGAAATATATATTGTGCGTATTGGATGTGCGTGCGTACGTGCATGCAATTTTATGTTACATCAAATTTGATTTTTGTAATAATTGTGAAATATTTAACCAGAAAAATCTTTTTTTTTTAGGTGAAGAGACCGATAGTTTCGAGTTGCAGACGCAAAAGCAAAATTTTTATAGAGGTAAATCCTTTTATCATAAAAAAAAATTCAATTGCGATGCTTGAGTGTTAAATTATACATAATGTTTTTTAAATGTTAAAGGAACTGGTAAACGTGATATGGGTAAAGGTAAATTGACTGAAAGATTAATAACGGAAGGGCTCTTAACGCCACAAATGTTACGTGAATTACAACACGAATGGATTATGTCAACAAAAAAGAAAAAATAATAAATCTATATGCATAGAGATGAAATATTAAAGGAAATTCTTTTATTGTGACCAACATAATTGTGAATGAAAAAAGTTTAATTAAGTTGATATAATATGAATAATGATATTGATTCTTTAAGAGTATTAACATTGTAAATAATAACATTGTTACATGCATAATTTTGTGTAAAAATCATATCATTATAATTATTATTTTAATATTTAGTGTATTGTTTTTATGTAATCTTTATGTATTCATATACATATACAAATATATCCCTTTCAAAAATAAAATTTACAGAGCACAAAGTTTACGCATTCGCATGCACGCACACGCGCACACACACGCGCGCACACACACACACACACACACACACACACATATATATATAATATATAATCTAACCATTTTTCCTGTAAAAAGATGTCTATTTTTATATATAAACTATGTACTCTACAGATTTTATTTTTATAAGTCGTTATACAGATATTGAGCATTGATAAAATATATTGAAGATTCTTTTCTCTCTCTCTCATTTTATATATTAAATAAATATCTATATTTATTTTAATCAGTCATAATTCGTTTTGAAATGTAAGACAAATAATGAATTACATTATATTTATTTATTAATATAAAAATAATGGAACTCGGGTGTACTCTTGCGCATACATTTATAACAGCCAGAACGTAACACTGTATGCCGTGTTGTGACGATATATTTGAATTAGGCATTGTTACTATTATTTTACTTATTTTTGTGCTTTTAATTAAATTTACTTACAATATGTGATAACAAGGTGCCCGGCGAGACTGTAGCAATATTTCACAGGAAGGTAGATGGAACTAAGTTGAGTCGAAAAATTATCTACCATTTTGCAATTTTTGCAATAGTTAACAAGGTATTGATTATTAAATATCGCTGAATATTGGTTTTCAATAATTTTTTACTCAAATATTATCAATTTTATAGAAAAACAGTGAGATGAAAAAATTCTTTATTTTCTTCTTATAAAGAGATCTGAGAATTTTTTCAGAATTTTTTCCGAATTTTTTTAATATCGTATTTTCTCATGTTGGTAAAAATAATTGCCAATATGTAAGAAAATACAGTACTAAAAAGTTGATAAAAAATTCTGAAAAGATTTTATGAGAAGAAAATAAACAATTTTTATCTCTCACTGTTTTTCTATAAAATATTTGAATAAAAGATTACAATATATATATATATATATATATATATATATATATATATATATTCAGCGATATTTAGTAATTAATGTCTTGTTAACTATTGCGAAAATTGCAAAATGGTAGAAGATTTTTCGACTCGGTTTAATCCCGTTTACCTCCCTGTGAATTATTGCTAGAGTCACTGGACACCCGGTATAACTATTATCACTAAAGCACTTCCTCTATAAAAAAACTTTCCAGAACCAGATAATATAAAATTTATTTCTGTCAGTAAATATGTACGTAAATTGTGAGGTCCTAGAGATCATTTAAAAGTATCATGCGGATGTGATAATAAAATGATAAATTACTAAACTTAGATTACAAGTATTTTATAAAATGCTGCGCTTAACGCCAAGACACTACCGTGTCTCCAGATATACACAACATACTGAGAATTACATCTGCAATTTTTGTTTAAATTTTAGTTTTTCCATTTTTTGTATTTTTTCAAAGTTATATTAATTTTATATTGATATTGGCTTAATAAAAATATTTCTTTATTTCCTTATCAACATTCCATGAAACAATTTAATTCATTAATTTCCTACACTTATTGTTTTGAACACAATTACTCAATCTGCATACAATTATTTAACGAATGATTTTTCACTTTTGCTTTTTTACTTGTCAAATACAACATTATCAAATAAAAAATTATTTAATGTGAAAATACATATCGATAGAAGAAATTTAATATTATAGTTTGTATTCCTCTGTTGTGCGCGCGCGCGTGTGTGTGTATGTTTAGATAAATACATAATACATATCTTGTTAGTTTTCTTTGCATAAATATTATTAAATTTTAGAAAAATAATATTTAAATAATGAAAAATTTTATTATAAATGTGTCTTTAAAAAAATATTTTTTCTATATGAATTAAAAATTTTCAAGTAATATTTATTCTACCGTTGAACGTACCTATTCTAATAATTTTAGAAAATTAAGATGTAATAGATGAAGTTTACAGAAATAATAAAATAAGAAAGTTTCACTACATTAATTAAAAAGACTTAATTGATTACAATACTTAATTCGTTACAATATAACAGAAAAATATTGTACTTATATAATATAATAATAAAAATAAGAAATAAAAATATATTATTACTATATATTTATGTTAAAATAGTTTTATAGTAATATTACAAAAAGTATATATTTTCATCAGTAAAAATACTTTACATATATAATATAATGCAAAAGTAAAAAATTTGATTTTATAAATGTTTCAAATTAATTAAATTGAACAAATTATACGTAATTAAATGAAACACAATTTTTGTATATGCAACTTTATTAGAAAGATACGATTAGAGTTTTATAGAATATGTATAAATGTATACTTTTATTTAATATAAATTATATTGTACACTGAGAAAAAAATGCTGTTGATTCAATTGAAGTCTATATTACGGGCTGTCACTAACAAGTGATTAATGATAGCCCGTAATATAAACTTTAATTGTATCAACAGCATTTTTTCTCAATGTATATTACAGCTTTGTATTAGTAACTATATACATAATATTTAATTTTTGCATTTGATTATATTTATACATTAATTTATTTCATTTCTGCTTCTTTTATTTTATGTTGTTGATGTATCTGTTCCTCATATGCAGTTTTTACAACACATGCAAGCAGGGAGAAGCTTTTTTCACATTCTTGTGTAATATTTCTCACTGTACAAATAAAAATTCAAAATAATATATAATAATAAATAATAGTTAAAAGATCAAATATATAATCATGTTTCCTATATATATATATATATATATTGTATTTATATAACAACTATATATTCTAAAAGCATTATACTACAAGTGCAAATACATAAAACGTACATAATAATTTTTTTGTAATTCCTTATTTCTTGTTAACTTTAGGGTAATTTATACAATATATCAAAGAGGTAAAGTCTATATATTCTAGGAAGTGAGAACTGTAGAATTTTTTAAAATTTATTATAAACTATAAATAATGTGTCACTTGTACAAGAAATTATAAGAGAAAAAGTATGTAATATCTCTTTCTTAACAGTAATTTTGCAATTGCATATTGAATTTCGGAAATTGTTCGAAACAAAACGCTTTCGTGTGAACATTTTTGTTGACCTGAACAACCTAATAATATATATAATTCAAGCTATATCTTACCTTGTTTCATGCATTTACGCGCAATTTGGTGAAAAGTGTCTTGATCAGTATCATCAGCATGCTCTACATTTATTCTTACATGAACTTGCGCTTCCTTAATGTTTGAATTTTCCATCTAATATTATTAAGAAGAAATTATGAATCAAAATAAAATATGTGAATTTATTTTAATTATTTTGCGCAATTTAAGCGCTATGTAAATTAAAACATATTTATTAAATTAAGTATATTGTAGCATAATATTTTTATTAACATTATATAATAACATCAACTTTTGTATAATTTTATCGTTAAACATATATGTATATGCAGCAATAAATATATAGAGGAAAGGCCCCTATTTTGAGATACCGAGTTCATTTTGAATAAATGCTAGAAGTCTATGGGCAAAATTTAAAAAAATAATAGTTCTTTTTGAAGGGAATTTAATAAGTTTTAAGATAACGTTATATAAAATTTAATTCAAATTTCATTTTTTTTTTAAATTAAAGAAATGTAAAAAATAAACAAATCACAAAGTCAAAAAATTGTGCTCCTAATGTGAGATGCCTCGAGAAATCGATAGTAAAACACAAAGTATATCAGTATTGCAATTAAAAAACTTTATTTCATGTTTTTAAAGTGCAAACAGCGTGCGTGAAAAATGAGCATGAGATAGATTATACCCAGAACTTGTCTTCAAGTAGTTGGAATCAAGCATCGCAGAAATAGGCACTCGACGTTTATTCCGGTTGTCCTTTTTATTATTGTACAATAACATTTACTCTTTTTCATTATAACACAGGAGCATAGGTTATTTTATATTTTCACGCCTTATGGTTTTCATCAAATCATCAAATCTAACTTCTGTAATTAAACAATTCAATATATCCCGTATTTTTCTATTAGTACAATCTTATTCCATCACTACATGAATTTATTGCTAAATATTTATTTATTAAATAATAAACAAGGCTCATCTCAATGAAAGATTGAAGACATCCAAATTCTAAAATCTTTTTTTACAATGACTATAGGCATGATCTAATAATAAATTTTCTACACTAAATAGTTTTCAATCCAAGAGCAATAAATTCATGGTGGAACTAATAGATAGCGTTTATTAGTTTAGCAGAAACGCCAGTATCTCATATTAGGCGCCTATCTCATAATAGGAGGCTTTCTTCTATGTATAAGCAACAATGTGTTTTATTAATTGCATTCATAATTGTTACATTAGAAATTAAGTTTCGAATAATTTAAAATTTTATTATTTATTACGATATATTAATCTTACATTGTTGGACATCATATACATATAAAATACGTATAGTATATTTGAAAATACTTACTAAATTCTGTCTTTTTAAGACACACGCAATCCAGCAACCCATTCTTCTTGTTTTTTCTTCATTTTCGGGCTGGGTAGGTAAGTCAGTTATCATGTCTTGGGGAGTGTATACATCAGCTAAAAAATAAAAACAATCAATGTAAAAGTCAGTTTTTTGAAAAAAAAAATTTAAATAAACATTACAAGATTGTAAGGAAAGTATTTAAATTTGATAAAACAAAATTTGAAAATTAAACTAAAATATCATAAGAATCTTCAATATAATATGCTTCTGCAATAATAATTAGATATAACTTACCATCAGTCACATTATTTTCAATCTGGCAAGCTTCAATGTCATCCCCAGTAGTTTCTATTATATTTTTGACTTTTTTTAGTTGTATTGAGCTAGACGGCTGAAACTTACAAAATATTTATTTCATTAATTTTAGTTATTAATAGTTTTTAATACATATTATTATAAATAACTCTCTTGTAATTTATTGAAATAGTTGAAGTAGTTTATTGACAGAATATTTACAGCAATTATTAAAATACAGGCATAAAGCACGAAACTTTTCATTTTATGCAGATGATATCTTCACTGATAAGTATCTTCAGCGCAATTAATCAAAATAACTGTTGTAACGCCATATATATACTAGTTCACTCTTCGACAGATAAAATACATAGGTCAAAAGAAACAAGATTATAGATCATACAAACATCAATTATATAACGTTAATAGTGACAATTTGCTATTGACAATATTTTAATATTACCTTATAATGTAAATTGATATAAATATAAAAAATTAAATTAAGTATATAAAAGACTGAACGAATATTGAATATAAAAGATTAAATCAACGGTAAAAGTCTAAAATACATCTTATTTTGCTTTTTTGAGAACACCCTATATACGCGTTGAAGTCTTCTAATATCGCTTCTATATCGATAATACAAAAAAAGTCTAGATTAGAGCTTCAAGATCATAGATCATGTAAGTTGAAGTACATACACAAAAAAGAAAATATAAATAACTAATACAAAATTTTATTATTGTAAATATAAGTTGCTAAGATGTGAATTTCGTATACACAGTTTTCTCATATATTTACAATTATCTTATTGAAGTATGTTTATATTCTGAATTAGTTAATCATTATTTTTTCACTGTTTGTGTTAAGTTAAAAATCAATAGTACAATATGTTTATTTTTGCTTTAAATTCTAGAATTTCTTTAGTTTTCCAAGTGGCGTGGTTCTGGGTTGATTTATTTCAATATTAATACTTTCTCTTTTGGAAAGCAATAAAAATATATTTTTCTGAATTCTTTTTGATAATTTTTACATGTTTTTATTTGGTACGATCATTTTGGTCTCTCAAGCTATTTCTTCAAAATTACCGCGGAAAATGTTTAAATGGTCGCATTCCCTTAATAGAAATTCAATACTATAGTACTGGCTAAATTACTGGCTTTTAATATTAAAAATAATTATTTTAAGTATTAAAAGTATTGTTAATACTACTATTAATATTCAAAATAAGTCATTGGCCAATACTACTATTAAATTTTTAGAAGGGTTTGTAATCTGCGCAGAACCGTATGAAATTCGTCTTAAAAACGAGCATACCTGACTTCCTTCCACTATGAGTTTATTATTTGTCAATAAATTTACCGTATATATACGAACTGAGATCCGATTCTGAAGTTCTACAAATGTACAGTTTTACAATATTTTAGTTTACAATACTTCGATTTATCTTTGTTATTCTAGTCCGCAGGTTATCTAAAGAGAGCGAGATATTTTATTAAATAAATAATAGTCTAAATACGAAAAAAATTCATTGAGCTTAAATGTGGTAAACGTTATGCGTGCGTATGTGCGTGTGTAGAATAATACATTTCTTTCAAAAAATTCTATTAAAAAAATTATTTATATTTTTATAAATAGATCACTCTAAATACATAATAAATTTTATTAAAATATGTTTTTTACAAATTAATTTTATCATGTATAAATTAGATATGAAAGTTTAAAGCTCTATGAGAAGACTTTGTAATCATTTGCATAAAAAGAATAGGAAGTTACATTTTAGATTTTATTAAACTAATATATAATTAATCAATTAGAAATTATTATATACTTTCATATATAGTTTCAATCATCTTGCACTAAATTCCAGGTATGTCTAGACATAAAATGTATTTGATCATATTTGTATAAATGTGGACATATAGTGATTTACTTGAATTAAATTTGACATATATTAAAATCAAATATAATTATATTTGGATTACCAATTTTTGGGCTTTAGTAGGATTTTCACATAAAAATTTATTTTGTGTATGTCTGTAATATCAGGTAATTAAGAATTTATCTGGAATTTTATTAAATTATATATAATCTGATTAAATTATATATAATTTTTATTTGGAAATATATACTAATGGTTCAAATAAAAATTTCCATTTTTAATATATTTAATCTATTTAATGTATTGCACAGTAAAAGTTAAATTATTATCCCTACTTGGAAATCTATTATTAATAAATCCCGAAAATAATTCGGAAATCCAGATAGAATATGAGAGCAATATATTAGGAATCCCTACTGAAAAAAATCATGTCACAACGTTACATGATTTACATGTTTTAATTATTTCATCATATAATTAAAACATGTAAATTACGTAACGAATTGTTTCAAATCAGTACATAATTTTTAAAAATGATGTAATTTGAAAAATTACATGATATTAAAAATAATTTTATCCATGTTATTTTATAATTATTATAAATTTTAAAGAATTGAATGATTGAAGAAGAAGAAAAAAGAATATATTATCATGTGACTTTTCAAAATACATTTTAAAATCACGTACTGATTTGAAACAATCCGTTACGTGATTTACATATTTTAATTTCATGATTTCATCATTCAATTGTGTGACGTGATTTTTTTCAGTAGGGACAGTTCATAGCAATCAGACTATGTCTATTCTATATTTTCACTTATACGAACTTCCACTTATACGAATTTCCATTTACAAACTTATATACGAACTTCCATGTATTAATGATTTAAAGTTAAATACGCCAATTCCATATATATCACAACCAGTCCACATTAATGGTTTAATTTGGAAATCTATCAATAGTAACAATCGAACTTTATACATTTATGTATTTATTCCATATTTTCACTTATATGTGGACATCCATATATTAACGATTTAAAGTTAAATACGCTAATCCCATACACTAACCACAGTTAATTGGAATATACCAGTATTTTCAATTAAGAGTGGATGATTAACATATATCTGAAATTTCAAGTGACTTTATTATATATTCACTTTTACAAACAAGTTAGTTTAGCAAAATGTGAATTTCATTGTATGAATTTGGTTATATCTGGCTATCCATTGCACAAACCGCATTTGATCAAATATGTGCCAACTTATTGGAAACTTATTTTGAATTTGCAGGGCATGGAATTTTACCATGGTTTCAATATGGAATGAACATTATTACTGTTTTTCTGTTTTTAATAAACTTAATACTTTTAATAAACTTAAATTATTTTTAATAAATTTTTATTACTCACTTGTGCGTCATATACAAAAAATGTCATATGTTATTTTTTACAATGCTTATTTGTATTTCGTCATATACATAGATCAACAGTCACTTTTAAATGCATAATTCAAGCGACAAATATAAAAGAAGAGATTCGGAATCCTATAGTATAGACTGTCAACGTAAGCTTCAAACATCACATTTATTGTCAATGTAAAATTATTTGACGTAAAAAGAACTCAATACTTAAATATTAATGGAATTATTTATGATCTGCTAAAAATTTAAAAAAAATATTGGCACAGAGCAATCAGTTGGGATATTGATAAACACTGTTGTCCAAATTGTGGAAAGCCATTTGTTCATCGATCCATTGACGACCATAGGCTATATTAGCATAAACGCCGGGAGTTCCATTCTCGCCACAGCCAAGACCCCAGGCTACGATACCAGCTTGAACGTATTTAGTCGGATCATTCCTTAGCGGGCACACGAGAGGACTTCCACCGTCGCCCTGCAACAAAAAGATTTTTAAAAATCACTTTTATCTAATCGCATGCAAAATAGAAAAAACATGGAAGTTTCTTCACAGAAAATTGTAAACAAAAAGTCGCGCTTAATCCTGTATTTAGCGCTATCTTCAAATAATTGTTTCAATTTTTATGCTCTTCTTTTTTTAAATATAAATAATAAATAAAATATAAATTCTTGCTCAAAATTGTCAAAACAATTAGATTTAAAAATAGATTTAAAAACATGAGCAAAAGTAAGATAAAAAACATTTAATTTATTATGACATTTATTATGACATCCACTACCAGTTAATATTAAACAAAAATGTGGAACGTTTCGATTTATTCAGTCATTATAAAAGAACAAAAATGAAAAAAATAATTTAGAATAATAATTAAATGTTAGAAAGATCACAATTGAAAACTAACGAAACCATATCAAAGATATTAAATATTATAAAGAATATCAATATGAATAAATTATTATGTATATATTAAACTAATAAATCTTCATGTCAATGAATAGTTAAAATTAATAAATTCCGATACTGTTTCATATGTTCAAAAGCGAAAAAGTAGCATCTATGTAGTTAGAACGCTCAGTTATGTAAATTATTCAAAAATTAAAATTCTAAGATAACTATAAATTTATATCAGTGTACTAATTAATTCGGTGCCTTTTTTTTATAAAATTCAAAGTTATTTACGCAAAGACAAGTACATATTTAATATTCGAAATAAGTAGAAATCCGACGAGGCGAGATCTGGTGAATAAGCCGCATGAAGGAGAATTTCCCATCCCAATGTAAAGATAACGTCCTTATATAGTCCCTTTTGCGATGTATGGTCGAATGTCGTGCTATAAAATCAATTGTCTGTTTCTGCTGCCAATATAAGGCCTTTTTTGTTCTAACACAACGCATCGTTCAAATATAAGTTATTGTTGATAGTATTCCGCAGTAACAGTCTGGCCAGAATTCAGTAACTCGTAATGCATTACATCCTTCATATCCCACTAAATACTCAAAACGTTTTTTGTATGAATGTTAGGCTTCGGAGTCAATGTCAACAGTTCGCCGGGATTTACCCGATTTAATGATTTTCTGCTTAGGGTTGTCGTATGATACTCATTTCTCATCACCAGTAATAATTTTGTACAGAAAATCTTTTCTTTTAAATCGGGTTAGCAAAGATATTTTGCAAAGACAGATTGCCGTGTCGAATCTTCGCTCCTTGTTTTCAGGACTCAGGTGCGGAATCTACCTATCCTCCTTTTGAATTTTACCGAGTTTAACGATGAGATATGCATTGTTGAGTTATAATGCAAACTCCTGTTGAGTTTAAAAGGAGTTTTCAATGAACAGTTACTCGTCGTCGAATTTTTGTGGTTGACTTGGATATTGTCGATCCGAAAATTTCCATTCCGAAACCTCTAGTACCACTTTTTATACGTTTTACATGTTACAGCATCTTCATTCAGAGCGGTATAAATCATTTCCAGGCTTCAGCAACATTTTTCTTTAATTGAAATACGAAAAGAATGCAGTGTGTATCTCAAATGTTACTTATCGAATGTCATTTCGATCTAGTTGTCTGTAGTGAGTTGTCTGTAAGTTAGTTCTAACGAAATATAAATAAGGCGAATTAATTTGTACACCTAATGTATATTAATAAAAAAATTATGTCAATCTTATAAAAATATATTCTATATATTCCTTATATTTGATGTTGTATTAATACCAACATTTTTGGTAATAAACTTGATATCATAAATTAAGTTTTTGATCTTACTTTTGCTCGTTCTTGACCTATCTTTTTAAATATAATTGTTATAAACAATAAAGTATAATTATAGGGACAAGGAAGTTAGAAAATATTCAACGCTGAGTTTATCAAACGGATAAGAATAGGTTCTCGAACTTTGATTTCTTGATTCTTGAAGGAAATTTGAAAGTCTCTAATTTTGTATCTTTGAATCGTTAAAGTGTTGTATATCGTTACATAAGTCTAAGACTTTATGGGATTTTTTGAGCTTAAAGAATTTTTGTGAAACATCAACCTCAAATCTACCTTGCAAGTATCTTTTCCTACTTCTCCACCCGCGCAGATAAAACTTTTGTCTAGTAGAAAGTATTTTCCCAATCTGGTAGTACGCATAATATCTTGACACGTATTATGTTGTACTATAGGAAGCTCTACTCTCTTTAAAATCACTTGATAACGTCCCTCTTTGCCTGTAATTAAATTTCATTAAATAAAACTCATAATACATTATGTTATATTGTTATATTACTACATTATTATATAATTATCTCAAAATAGTGAAAAAGTTTTAAAGAATATAAATCAAAGAGATGAGATGCCTATAAGAACATTATATAGCTTTTCGTATGTTAAACTTTAATGAATCTAAATTAAATTTAATGTAATGTTTCGATTCACAATTTTGAGTCTTCAATAAATAACCTTCTATTCAAAGATTACATGTTCACACAAATCATTGTAGCAATCACTTATGATATGTATTGTGACACTGAAATGATGTCATTGTTGAATCAAATATTATTTTGTCATTATTATTATTTAAATATTCAGATCGATCTATATCATTATTAATCGATTGTTAAACAGAGGCAATTATTTAAAAAAATAATATATTATGTTAAAGATGTTGAGAGATTCAATCGATCAATATTTATTTCTTTACATGTTGTAAATGCAAAAGGCATACCGAATATGTCTTTTCCCCATCCGCTGGCGAAACATTTGGATCCGTCGAAGTTTGCATTTATTTCAGCGAGACATACGATATCAACGTTCTCCGCGTACTCAACTGGAGTTTTCAGGATCAGGATAGCGTAATCGTTGTAGAGTGCACCGGAATGGAAGCCTTCGTGAACCACGACTTTCTCGACTTCGCGATCTTGATGTGGATAGATTTCGTTCTTCGTCTGCGTGTCCCATTCTCCTGCACGAACTTTCAGCTCCTGTGGCTGTTTCCTATTTGATCGGAATACACTGTTAATCTTCCATTAGCAATGTTATCCTTTCCAGGCGCAGTTGATTTTTTATATGAATTTTAAGAAAATGAATACATAGCGGGATTCAGTATCACCTTCTAAAAAAACTTGTAATGTTGAGATCGTGTATATGACGATGCCAACCAATTGTTTGTTTCGTTGCTAAGATTTCATAAGCTAATCGTGGTTTTCACAATTCACGATTAACTCGATTAACTCTTAATCGAGATTCAACTTATCTCTTTTCAATTCTAGAATTGGAAAGAGGTGAGAAAAAAGTTGAATCTCTGTTAAGAATTAACCAAAGGCAAATAAAAGTACATACACGTGCTCTTAGCAACCCGTATTGCAGACAACATAAGATTTTATACAAACAAAAAATTTGGATTTTTTTCATGTTTTACATGTACTTTTGACGCTAATTATAAGCATGTAAAGATATTATTTTTAAAAAAGATTTTTCAGTATTCTATATTACTTTTTTAAATGAAGAAAATAAAATTTTTTTTAATGAATAAAAAAAATAACGAACAAAATATTTATTCGTATGTACTTAACGTGAATCAAAGCTGTTTATCCATACACCGACATATAAACAAACTTGAAATCAGTTTTATTAACTAAGGTTATCGAATAACTGTTTGTAAAAATGTTATTTGTTATCGCAAATATTCATTGCACATATTCATTGCAAACTGATTACTGACCCATTGACGCAATGAGCTGCAGTGAGAACGGCCTGCCTGTGAATAAGAGCTCCGCCACATTGATAAACATTCAATTTCTGGCCATTGCTGCCAATAGCCTCCTCTTTCAAAATAGCCACCATCCATGGAAATTCACCGAATTGGGCCTCATTATCGGTTTGACCGGTGATTCTGAAGCCGACTCCTTCAGCATGTCGTTGTCCACATCCTTTCCTACCGATTGGTTCAGGCGTGGATGGTGGCTGCCGATCCGGAGGTTTGCAGCAAACATCCAAGTAATTATCACATACCCCAAGAGCTCTAAATATTCCAAAATATGATTGTAAAAACGTGGGGCTCAATTATTTTAATTAATTTTATAATACAAATAGATGCAATCGTTTTTTTATTCACATAAATAAGATATTAATAGAAAAGAAAGATTATCTAAGAGAAGAATACATATCTAAGAGAGATTAATATCTATACAGATTTTTTTTGCAACTTACCCTTTTAAATTTTAAATTTTGACAGCATTTTAAGTGCAATGTTTTACTGACAATTTATTAAATTATTTTTCTTTTACTAAACATTCAGAAATCGTTAATTAAAAATTCTTCTGTTAATTTAAAGTTCTTCTGCAGTTACAATCAACTAGAACATAAATTTAACGATATCTTGAAAACAATTTAAATATTAAATCATTAAATGATTATTAAAAAAAAAACAATTGTAATTTTCAACAATTACATATTTCTTCTCCGATTTAATTTTATATTTATTATTTAATTAATTAAATCAATTTATTAATTTTATGTAATGTGATATAACAATAAAGTTCAGTGAATATATTAGGTGTTGGAATTAATTCGTAGCGTTTTTTAATGAAAGAATGTTATTTATTTCACATGAGCATTAAAAAATACATTAATGAAAGTACTTCCCATCACTTGTAAAACGCTACGAATTAATTCCAACACCTAATAAGAAAATATCACTTAATTAATATACAAATAACATTTGTTGTTCTCTAAAGTATTCCTCTCTAGAGACAATACACTTCTGACGACACTTACGTACAATTTACAAAAATTCTATGAAAAATTATCTTTAAATATCGCCTTAAGTCTTGTTGTCATCACGGTTTTGATTCAAATGTGTATGGCAATTCTTGAATTCAGCATTTTTATTTTGAATCTGTGAAATTCTGTGAAAAGTTATCTTTGGATATCGCATTAAGTTTTGTTGTGAATGTTTGAAATGTTTGTAAGTCTAGTGTTTTTCGTGACCTTCTTTAATTTAGAATTTTAGAACAAAAAGAAGTTTACAGGAGCAAGTTCGGAGGAGTAGGGAAAATGGAAGTCTCTACGTTTACACAGCCCGATTTACGCCGAAGTTATAACATTGATGTTAAGAAACTGGCCAATCATAACTATTCCTCTAAACTCTAAAGAATGGAACGATTGTGATTGACCAGTTTTATAACATTGATGTAACTTCAGCGTAAATCGAGCCACTGTAAACGTAGAGACTTCCATTTTCCCTACTCCTCCGAACTTGCTCCTGTAAACTTCTTTTTGTTCTAAAATTCTAAATTAAAGAAGGTCACGAAAAACACTAGACTTACAAACATTTCAAACATTCACAACAAAACTTAATGCGATATCCAAAGATAACTTTTCACAGAATTTCTGCAAGCTGCAGTCTAACAAACGTTGTTAGAAGTTCATGATCTCTAGAGGGGATTAATTTAAAAAACAATAAGGTATTTGTATATTAATTAAATAGTGTTTACTTTTTCATAACGTTTATCGAACTTTATTGTCATACTGCATATGCACATCAAATAAAATTGTGTTTAAAATGAAAACGATATATTATCCAGAGGAATTTCATTGTCCAAAGATAGTCTCATGCGGCGAGAATAGTAGAAAGTGGCGTACTAAAAACAATAAACCGAAATTGAAAAGCAGCAAAGAGAATATTTATTAAATCTAATTTTAACAAGACAAAAATATCTACACTATATATACACATAATAATGTCTATATACACAGATTTTACCATGCACGGGAGCATTTATAGCGAAAGTTAATCATAAATCGCATTGACTTCCGATTCCGCGGTAATTAATTTTGATCGTGATATATGTTCCTAGTATTTCATTTCGATTTCCCAACCTGAGCTGCAACGATTATTCTATTTCACTATTGTATCAATTGAAACATCACTTTTTGGAATATCAATTGTAACACAATATCTTCAATAAATGTCAATCGTCATATAAAACGTAATTACATTTAATTTAATTATTTTATATAATTATTTAATTACGTCATTTATGAAAGTGCTGTATTGTGACGAGCACCGCATAACAAAAGGAATCGCCAATTCCGATTTAGCAACATCGGTACAATGCTTCCGCTTTCCTAACACAGTCACTCTTCGTGTACGGTTCAAACTATATTTTGTAACTACCATGCCATCATATTTAACGACACTATTTATTGTACATTACGGAGACTTGAATAAAGTGATAAATAATATTGAAGTGAAAATTTATAGCAAAAATTCTTGTAACAGAATGTTTCGATGATATTTTATAAGTTCCATTTTCTGTAAAAAAAAAAAACATCTTTACAATAACAAATAAAAAAATATCTTAAAAAATACTTCATCTACTAAAGAATCGAAAAAATATCTAATTTACTGTTAAAAAGAAATTACAGTATTATTTTATAAAACAAAAAATAATTATAAATAAATCAGAAGGAATGTGTGTGTATAAAGTATATACTTTTTTAAATCTAAAAGTATATATTTAAATGAGAAATCATATTAATTATCACTATGCATATCTTGGTAATGAAAAAAAAAGTCATGCATTATTGGATACCAGTACCAATTTAGTAACTTAGTTGAAAACGAGAAAATTTATGCGAGTATAAAAAGCTACTTTTCTAAAAAGCTACTAATTATTGTCGCATATATATATTACACCGAAACCAAAAGTTTTTCCTCGATTTTACGATACTAAAAGAAGTTAATCGTTTATCTGCGAACAAAAATTTCACAGCATGCTGTGATCTATCGCCATCCAGGTAGAAAACCAGTCGAGACTCCAATCTTTGGTCAATAAACTCACCCCGAAGGCTTCTCATCCTTATCACCAAAATCGGACCTGATATCGATGATGCCGATTCCGTTATCCAAGATCTTGCCTTCTTTGCACTGATAATAAGGCACACATTCGCAGTCATCAGGTTTCGAAGGTGTTTGATTCGCGGTGCCAAGGATAACATTTGAGGAAGCAGTAGTGGTGGTAACGTTGCTGAAGATGTTTTTAATAAGGCTATCGACATCGCCGTCTATTGCGGGAACCCCCTGAGGAGTCGTAGTTGAGGGGAACGCTTGGGCGATGAGATCGGCGAGACTACCTTTTTCGTTGCCTTGCGGCAACGCCGTCACTAAAGTCACGCCGACCAAGGTCAATGCAGAAACCAGTTGCCACATGATTTGCGCCAAGGATTCTTGGCTGAAATAAACACGAGAAATGGTGTAATATCTTAGAAGCTATTGCGGAACGATCATATCTAAACCGATTTTACGACTGGCTCTGCAAAACCTCATAATGGCAATCAAAAAAGAAACACCTTCTTTTTGAAGCTATAAATAACGATGATACACCGATGCCTCACTCTAAGGTAAAAAAAGGAAAAAAAAATAAATGCAAACTAAGTAGCTCGAGAAATCTTTAATCACATTTGTCTTTCATGCGATCATTAACATGAAGCAATTTTGTCTTCGGTAATTCTCGGTTATCATCGAGAAGCATTATTGAATAAAGTGCACTTTAATGTAGTAGATAACGTGTTTATATGTTGCGTCGACAGAATAGAAGATATATAATAAATTTATGTGTGGAAATAGTCTTGACATCACTGGTGAATTTTTTAAAGAACATTTAAAGTTGCATTATAACGAATGAGTTTACTACTTTATATTTTATCTTATTACAATCGAACTGTTTCTATAAATAAAAATCTTTTTATTATGAAAAAAAATTAGATTTCGAAGTTATAATAATTATATTGTAGAATAATAAAGAAGTAGAAATATCAGTATAATACATCCTATGTGTTCGGTAATCTATATACACACATAATTTTTCTACTTCTCGGGATTCTCCCGAGTTGGCGGAAACGAGATTAAATCGTATTACGCGTTCTACAATCCTAAGCGTAACGAGTCATAAAAAAATTTGTTGTCTAATCAAAACAAAGAAAATCCAACTTTTAATTACAAATATCAAATAAAGCTGCCTGTCCGTATTTAATTGGAATTTTTAGTTACCTAACAGATTCTAACAGATAATTATAAAAGATAACTATAACAAATGATGATATTACGGCATTTACGCATGCATGAGTTACTTAAAATTAATTAATATCGTCTCTCTCTCTCTCTCCCTTTCCCTCCCTCCCCCCTCTCTCTCTCTCTTTGATCTGATGTATATATAATGTATTGCGAATTCTATTTCATAAAAATATTAATGTATAATTTTAAAAATAATATTTTTTATAAAATAGAATTCATAATTTTATATGTATAGACACATCAGATCAAAGGATATTAATTAATTTTAAAATAATTGATGAAAATACCTATTATATATTTTATTATTCCAATTTTATTATCTCCTTATTTTTGTATATTTTACTAGTACATTTAAGATATTCTTCTAATTATAACAATAACAATAAAATTATTAAACTTTCACTCGTTTCCTTAAATCTGAAAGAAAATACTAGATCCTTCGAACAACAGGACACTTATAATTTTCCCAAAAAAAGGAAAATCATGAAATACATACGACGCAATAATTTGACATTTATCCAGAACACTTGATGCATTCAGATAATTAACATTATCTACAATCTTCCGCAATAAAGATGCACATGGACATTCGTCATCACTTACATAAATATTCGTCAACACTATTTTCTTTATTTAATTTGTTATGTGCATAAACACACTCTGATAGATGATTGCGAAGCTACAAATGTTTTGTCATTTATTTTGAGCATTTAACATTTTTTTATCACACGAATCCGATTAATTTGATGATTAATACGTTGATAATTACACGACAATGCTGTAGTAAGTTATATAATATTTCTATTGCAAAATCTTCTTACGGAAAGTATATTTAAAATTACTTGCCACTGACCTTTCTGCGATATATATTTTGCAAATCAGAACGAACATATTTCGTTAAACCGACATCAACTTCCAATTATTTATAACTCAAAAATTACACGAATTTTAAATCAAGAAGTTACGAAAGAAAATTATATACAATAAGATGATTTTGAGAATTTTACATGTCGAAATTATATAATCATTGCATTAATGTAATAAATGCGATCATATGCTAACGCAGAAAAATAGATTCGATATTATTGAGCGTAATCTAATATAATTTAGATTATGATTATGATTTCTCTCTCTCTCTCTCTCTCTCTCAAATAAACAGCAAACTTTATTACTGAACATTCAGAAAACTCGAGCGAAATAAGTTTATATCATGATCAATGTATAGTACTCACCACAGAAGGAAATATCAAAACAATGAACAACGAGCACCTTCCACTTGGAGCAGCAATGCTCGAATACTTTGGTTCTGAGTTAAGATCGTGATCTCCTCTGAACATCAAGAAATCCCTACTCCAAGCACATTTATCATGGATTCTCCCCACTTTCCTTTTGTCATTACTACTCCAAGACTTGGAGAACCGGCATTTCCCACCCATACATCGATTCTGTGACTTGACGTTGTTTTCCAAGAAATTCCAGTAGAGAAACTCATGCATTCCCTTAATTGATGCGAAATTCCCCTTTTTCGTGACGCACAACATTCGAAAAATTCATTGAAAAAAATGTAAATATCTGTTGACCCAACTGACCTTAAGTCAATAATGACCAAACAAGTCCTTCAGATACCGATATATTCTGCAAAAGTTTTTCAAGTTTTTTGAAAAATGTTAATTATGATAAATGAGTTTTTTGAAAAATGTCAATCATGATAAACGAGTTTTTTAAAAAATGTCAGTTATGATCGTACTTTGTCAAATAGTACTTTGTCGAGATTTTTACAAATTGTAACGGCAATAATTTATTTAACTAACTACGGAAAGAATGATTTTACTAAAGTAAAATTTAGCTTAAAAATTTAGCTAAACGCAGACCACAAAATAATTTTGTTAGATCATCAAAATAATTATGTAGAACTCTCAAGCATGATGAGCAATTCTACAAAAAGTTTTGATATTCTAGTAACCAGTGTGAGTGTCCATAATTATATTAATAATTTTCATTGTTCAATAAAATTATTTTCAATAAAATATATTTTATTTTTAGACTTGTAATCAAATGAATTTTAAATACAGTAAAACTTTTCGTGTACAATTTCAATATTGAAATCTGATAATATTACTGAAAAATTCAACGACTCGCATAAAGATACGATCTTGTCGCTTCGCTTAGTGCCAAGATTCTACCGTTTCTTTTGATTCTTAACGCAAAAGCCTCAGGCGCGGATGTACATGATAAATTGATAATCATTTACGTTTTTGCTTGATTTTAATTATATTTGCTGTGAATAATGTATTCTGCAATATCAGTTTCGTTATTTATCAAGATTCTCAGTGGATGGTCCTGAATAAACAGTTTTATCAACAAACTAAGCAAATCAAAAAAAAAGTTTATTCATTTCGTAATTAGTTGAGATATAAACGCTGTAATAAGAAATTCGATAGATTATTTGGCTGAAGATAATGTGTGAGAACTTCACGTAAAATTTGAAGTTACGTATAAGTATTTTTTTTTTAAGTTAAAGGAATTAATCTCAATTTTTTGCTAGTGAATAGTGAATTGTCAATGCACGTAATATTCAAATTAAATACGATTTTAGCAATTATTTTTAATTACTAGATGCCCTTATGTAAAAAGTCTGGAATTCGCAAATTCTTTATGTTAAGATCAAATATATGTATAAAATGTATCTGATTATTTTTTAAATGCGTTATAAAGTTGCGTACATCTTTTTGTCGTATGATTCTTTCTTTTGTGCAAAAAAGAGATGGACAAAAGAGACAATAAAATATCACATGACAAAATATAAAAAATAAATACGCAAATCTTTACCTCATCTAAGAAATAATAAGAGTAACGGTTACAGATCACTGATATTTACATCAATGTGAAAATTACGTCATTCTGTTTTCTCTCTCTCTCTCTCTCTCTCTCTCTCTACACCAATCTTATTATCCGTATATCGTAATACTCGCATGTCGTTTGAGTTTCCTTGTAGGAATATGATAATATAAGTATAATGTTAGTAAACTACTTACCCCGATATGTATATCTCGTTAAAGGAAAAGCATGTTAAAAAAATGGACAGTTGAGTACGTGCCACTTCATCATTAATGACGCACGTCGAATACAGAAAGAGATTGTCGAGATTGTCAAGCTTCGATCACCGTTTGGTTGCATGCAATTCAGGTGACACATAATATCATCAGATATTGTCCACAGGTGTCGCAATAGCATTTTATTCAATATTATATCTGATCGGAAATGCCGCTTAACATCCCCATTTTATCGAAACGCGAGAAATATAAATGACATTATTTATTAGCTCGAAAGCAAACTCTCTGTAAAAATATAGGCGAGTTAAAATAAAATTTATATTATAAATATATACTTATATTAGTGAAATTAAGAAATCGTAATCTTTAAAATTAGCTGCGCAATTTGTGCAAAAAACAAATTGTTTCCGTTTTCTCATAATTCTATTATGAAAGAGATTAATGAAGTTATTTGTATATTTTCTATGTTGTTTACAGCAATACGCGCGATTACACCACAATTTGAAAAGAATTGAGTACATTAAAATATTCTGTAGTAATACTAAAGATATCATCACTAGCAATAATTATATTTAATTATTAGCAGGAAATTATAAATACGTTTAGTTTAACTAAATGGTTCATGTCTTCATTTGAAATGCGTCTTTACGTCAGTAGAACGTCTTATAAAATTAAATATTCTTATAAACGCGTAAGTTATTTTCATAATATTCAGCCATTAATCTAAGATCATACTTCTCGAATTGTTTCAATGTAATTCAGACTAATTTCTTTGAATTAATCACATTCTCAAAGAATATATGTATAAAGTAAAAAAACTACGTGATAGCAAAAAGTATTTGTAGAGATAAATGCTGCTTTTATAATGAACATAAATATCGTGATTATATTATCGTCAAAGACTTTGAACTTAGTGAAATTGCGCTAAGAAAAACGCAAATGCAATGAATGCAAAAAGTATTCATATAGAAGAGATATTTAAAAAAAAAAACTTTATTTTTATACAAAGTAAATATTAATTAGCAATTTATAAATAAAAAGATATGTATAATAATAAATAAAATATATTATCTTCAAAATAAATAAAAATTACAAATTTGAATGCTCAAAGGTATAAATTGATAAATTTGGTTTCTAAGATCATGCGAAGTTCTTTTATTTATGGTTATTTAGAACGTACTTACTACATAAAATTGCTAATTAATTTTCTACAAATAAAATTTCTATATAAATAAAAATTTTCCTTGTATGAATAGTTTTTGCACCTACTGTATGTAAAATATAATAATTACAGATAATACTATTTTTTTCAATTTAATGCATAAATAAAAGTATTAGTTTAAAAAAAACATGAAATATTTATGCAAAAAAAATATTATTTTTTTAATTCTACATTATTCATAAAATACATAAAAAAAATTCTACATTATACATAAAATTATTTTATTACAAATAATTTATTATAGTATATTATATGATTTGTTATGTAATCGAATAAAGTGTATATTTAATTTTTCTCAATATACGCAATTATTTCAATACAAATAATTTAATATATTATCTAATTTATTACGTAATTAGATAAATATATTATATAATTAATTATTGTAAGATTGTTATCTTGGTAAAACTCTTCTACTCAATTCTCCACTTCTGGAACCAGTTCTTCCAATAGCCGTGATCGTCTAGTGGTTAGGACCCTACGTTGTGGCCGTAGTAACCCAGGGTCGAATCCTGGTCACGGCAATGTGAATAACATTGTCACGGTGGAAGTTTTTTTTTTTAATTTACTTTCAAATTGTGCATTTGAGAATTATCGTCATGTCAAATTATAAGTACTTAAAAAATAAAATGCACAATTTTGACAGAATAATTTCTCAATTTTTTTATTCGAATGCGTGTTTTGAAAACTCATGTCATCACTGTCAACAGTGTCAAGTATCTACTTCTATAATTTCTTAAATTGGTATTTGGAATAGATGATAGATAAAATACAGAAATAAAGAAATATTTAATATAGATATAGGTATATATATATGTATATATGTATACATATATACATATGTATGCACACATATATCTCTATTAAATATTTCTTTATTTTTGTATTTTATCTATCATCTATTCCAAATATCAATTACCATTTTTGTTATATATATATATAACAAAAATATCAACTTTTACAAAATTTTATAACTATCTTTGCCATTTATCTTTATTACATATTTATCTTGTTATTAGTAATGTTAGCTATATTGATTATTATAGTTCTCTTGGTCCAAGTATATTTAATTTAGAATTTTTTCTATTTAACGGCGAACAATGTTCAATTCCGAATGTTTACTCAATTCTTCCAGTAGCCGTGATCGTCTAGTGGTTAGGACCCTACGTTGTGGCCGTAGTAACCCAGGTTCGAATCCTGGTCACGGCAATGTGAATAACATTGTCACGGTGGAAGTCTTTTTTGTAAACTTTTTGATTATTCATATACAGAAAATATAATCACACAATTATAGTCATGTTTCGAAAATTTACGTTTTTTTAGAACTTTTTTAAGGAATATTTTCAGATTATCTTATTATATTGTGGAATAAATTGTGCTTAACTTTATAAAAAATACAATAATTTTTCAATATCTTATAATTCAAAAGATATACGAAAAATATTTGCCTTGAAACTAGGATATGTATGCTTGATCTCCCTCGTTGGAATGTTTCCCATGCTACGATAAGATTTATATTACATAACTATCGATAGCTGAAACAAATATATTCAGATAATAAGAATCAGTATATTCAGATATTCATTTTCGAAGAATGCATTTATAATATACTTACTACTCATTGCATAACGAGAAGGTTTAACAAAATATGAATTGCTTGTACGAATTAAAATAAATAACATAGAATGGAGTACATATTAAAAAATAACCAAATTATTAAAATACATATTATTATTATAATTTTCATAAGTTATGAATGATATTGTACGTACACAGCACATCGTAGTCGCGCATTGAACTAGAAATATCAAACTACAATACATATAATGCATCGTTATACGCCATAAGTTGCGAACTGTTGATCTATCCATTGACGATGTTGTGATACACTAGCGTATACTGCAGGTACATTAGAAGCTCCACAACCAATACCCCATGATACAATACCAGCCTAAAATAAGAATTTATCCAAATTCTTATTCTTTTATTCAATAAAAAAATGAAATGCTAAATTTAATTTATGTTATGAACTCAACATGCTTATAAACTGAATGTGAAATAGCAAATAAAATTAACAATAGATCATGTAAATCGTATAAATAAATAAGAATTAAAAGAATAAATTTTACCGATTAAAACAGTATAATTAATACAACAACGTGGATATTTAAAATGAAAATATTTAAAGAAGAATTAAATAGAAAGCATTAAGTTTGTTCCTTTTCGCTCACTGCTAAATTCTTTTTAGTGTATAAGAATTAAGTATTTTTATTATAATCTTTTTCACCTGAAAGAATTGTCCTGTAGCGGTTTGACAAACCAGCGGTCCACCGCCGTCACCGCGGCACGTATCTTTATTCGCTTCGCCGCCAGCGCAAATAAACGATCCATGCAATTGAAAGTACTGGCCCAATTTCGTGCTTCGTAAACGTGTCTGACAATCCTCTTGATTAATGATAGGAAGATTCACCTTCCGAAGCTCGGCCTGATATTGCCCTTCTGGTCCTAGAACGAGATTGTGAATGAATGTCATGTATAAATGCCGATAAGCAAAAGGAATAATAAGTAAAAATCTGTAAACTCAATTCGAGCTCACCAAATGAATTGCTGCCCCATCCTAACCCATAGCATCTGGTCCCAGCTAAGAAGACTTTACCTTGTTCGGGAAGGCAAATTGGTAGGACGTTCGCGCTATAAGTGATTGGTTTTTCCAAAACGAGGATAGCAACATCATGGAAAAGCCCATCGTTGTAATAAGACGGATGTATAGCTATTGCGACAATTTTTACTTCTTGAATAGGTAACGGTTGAATATTATTTCCTATGTTCCACTGTCCGAAGTGCGCAATCAAATGTTCAGGCTTTTGGCTGACGGGAAATTAAGATGAAGGAAAAAATAAAGCAATTAAAATCAAACTATGAGAGAACTTTTAGAAAGTCATCTTTTTAAACGTTTCTTGCGTACACACGTACTTCGCAACGCAGTGAGCGGCAGTGAGGATGGCCCTATTACTGATTATCGAAGCACCGCAATGAAAAATATAAGGACCGCCGGTCGTGGATTTTAGGAGAAGTACGACCATCCATGGAAATTCAGCGAAATAGGTTTTCCCAGAATCAGGAGAAAAAGGTTGCGCTGTAAGCGATTACTCATTATCACTCGAGTAATAGCCTTGAATCAAATATATTATATTATTGAATTTATACTTCACTTAGGCGACTTTAATCAAACTTGATCAAATTCCGATTAACAGATAATACGACCGGTAGAAATGTTTAAGACAAAAGATCTACAATACACAATTCGTTATTCTCAATCTTTTTTCAATAAGCACATAATTCCATTAATTAATTAAATTTTATTAATTAAACCTAATTACATTTATTTATATTACTTATTGTTGTTTTATATTACTTTATATTTATATTACTTATTGTTGTTTTTACGAATGTAGTTTAATTTTAATCTCTATTCAACTAATTCTTCTTCTTCTCTCCTGGTTATAAGAAATTAGAAAAAAATGGAAGAATGAACCGAGATTAAAGTTAATCTGATAGAAACAGTGATAGAAACGAGCATTAATAAAATAGTGTTGATTAAGTTAATCGGGGGTTTGGTCAAAGTTCCTAGACCGATGGCTTAACGCTACATCGTTAATGCGTACCTATATAAATATGTGGCTTATACTTACATGGTGCGTAACTATTGTTTTGTATACCACAAGTGATTTGCGAAACCGGGCGATTGGATGATCCGTTCGCAACAGCACTGGACGAGGAGGCGCTTTGAAGACCCTGATGATTGATCCCTGCTAATCGACAGCATACTTGGTCCGCCGAAGAGCACAAAGTAAATCTCGAATCAATTATACCAAGACCATCCGGACTGATCGCGTTTCCTTCAAAACACAGCCAGGTCTTCACGCAGTAACATTCTTGTGATGTACCCGGATTTTTCAACTGGCCCAGATCCGTAATCGGCGCGGCTGATGAAGTGTTTAGACAAGACGGTATGTTTGGCGTCGTGCAGATATTTCCATCTGATAAGATCTGAGAAACTCTAGGGTCTATCATGGCACCACCGCCGGACGTAATGACGATCATGCAGATGAAACATAGAATGACATTGTCGCATATGAAACATAGTTGCATCTGACTAGGTGATATCATAGTGATTGTTGATGATATTCTGGTCAACGTAGCAGATGAGAGTGATATTATGGCAATCGTGGTTGAAGAGCTCGTCATTGGCTGTGTCATATTCGCTAGTATCCTGCAGCAGACCAGGTTGTCGGGGCACAATCCGTACCGCGGATTTATTACACCCTCTCCGGAGATGGAGACTATTCCATTAGGATCACATAAAGATATCATAACGCAGATACAGTTTGGTAGTACGGTTGTGGGAGAAGTCGCTGAAGTAGGTATTGTTGGTGCTGTAATTGGAATAGTTGGAGTGGATGTTGATGGTGGCATAGTTGGAAATGTTATTGAAGGCATTGTTGATGGCGCAGTTCGAGATGTAGCTGGAGGTGTCATAGGAGATACATTTATTGAAGATGTAACTTGTAAAGGTATCATAGCCGTATTAGTTACATTTGGCAGATAGCAGCAGATCTCTAAATCCCCACATCTCCGATTAGTGGCAAAACTGTACAAACTTAATTTAAACAATCATATACATTCTAGAGATTCATTTTACCAATATCAACTTGAAACTTAATTTAGCCAGCAAATATAGAGCTTAAAATTTAGAACTTAAAAGAAGAAATAAAAATTAAAGGGCATTTAGAAATCGATATGGTAAAATCACACACAAATCAAGATTAGAATTAAAATTAAAATAACAAAGCTGTAATATAAAATTATAATTTGATGTTCATACAAAGTAACAGATTAAAATTAATCGATTTCAATAGACTAACAACATGCAATATTGATTATCAAACTTTGATAATTACACTCACCGCGGGTCAATTATTCCGGTTCCATCGGTGATGATAGTTCGATTTCTGTCGCATAGATAAAAAGGTACGCAGATACAATCTCTTACCGAAGCGGGGGTGGTAGAGAAAATCCTGTCTAGCTTCTGATACCGCGGTTTGCACTTAAGCAAATGTAAAAAGAATACAGACGACGACTCGGTAAATGGTATCACATCCTGATTTCGAGAAAAACCTTTGTTTTTCCGAATCATTATCGGTTTTTCAATCTGATTGTGTCTATGCTTCACTCTTTCTGAAGTAGTTGTAACATTGATCGTCATCGCGACGACAGCTACCAGCACGTAAAGCCGCGACATGACGACGTGTCGTTACTATCCGGTAGAACGCTGTCTATTGAACGATTTTTTAACACGAGCATGCGTTTATGTATAGAGGATGTACTAGTATTTCCCGGGTTTATGGGGAACAGATGCAGATATGACGCTAATAGCATATTATCTTTTGTCATAACGACCAATTTTCGAAGGCAAAATATAATAAAGCAACGCTTCATGCATCAGGATGCGTTTAAAAATACAAAGAGAGTGTAGGGATTTACATCAAAAAACAAAATATATAAATAAGTAAAATATTTAAATAAAAATATTAAACAAAAAAATTACAAATTTTTATCCGTTATACACGGAATAAAAACAAATTAAATCAATAATTTATTAATATACTTTTTTATATAAAATTAAACAAAAATGCTTGTTTAAATAATATTATTATATCATTGAAAATAAAAAATAATAACAGCGTGAATACAAAAGAATTTATTCGATAACATTTTAAATAAACGTAATATTAATATAAATAATTTTTCATTTAAATAACCTAATTATAATTTTATAGTAATTCGGCAGTATATATGTGAAGGATAATCCGTTTAACTGGTCAAATACAAAGGATGTAACCTACTTACTCGATAGACATCAAAAGTAATGTGTTAACATCCTTCCAAGTTAAAATAATCAGATAGAATTTTAAACTGGTATTGTATGTGTGTGATGTGTAACTCACTTTTAAATAATACAATTATTAAACCATGTAATGAGAACAATAATAAAAACTGAATGATATGATAAAAATCATGTAATAATTATTAATTACTTATTACGGTATACAATAGTACTTCTCTTTATATTAAATGCCAATTGATTCATATAGGGAGAGCGAATTTTTAGACTTCCTTGATTGAAAAATAATAAAATAATATAAAAAAAAAGTAGGTTACTGCCGTATGAATTATCAAACTGATCTATGTGCAATTATTACAGATATCGCAAAAGATGCAGTCACGCAATATTTAACGATTTATTTTGATCTATATGTAAGAGCAGAAAGTATTACATAGATTTTTGATAAATTCTATTGTATATAATAAATATATCGTTATTACTCAATAAAACTTAATAAAGGGCGATATATTATGAAAAAAATACATTTTTCATTCAAATGCATATATTCTATGAATCATTATTAAACATAATACAATTTTGTATAAATATATTTAAATAATATATTAATATATTAATAGCGGAAGTAATAATAATATAATTATCCTTGGTACAAATATTTGGAATGGCGAGATGATTATTATGACGATATGCGTAAGAATATAATCTTAAAATACAAACGACTACAAAAAAGAAAAAGCATGTCCAGAATGCACAAGATTAATTCCGAATAGGCGGAAATCTAATATAGCGAATAGAGGAAATATAAAGAAAATAAAAATCCAAAAGGTTTGATCGCGCGAGCACGCTCGCGTTTTGGATAAATACAATAAAGCTTTTTTGCGTAAAATCTTAATCGGTTAACGAATTCCAACATTCGCAGACGGGAACGCGTAAATTGGGTGAACCTCGATCGACATCGAAGGCAGTAATTGCGACAAAATAAATATTTATACAATTCTGTAAAACGTGCAACTGGACATACTACATTATTGTGGATTTGTGCGAATTGAAATTTGTTCATTTCTCTTTTCAATTTCCTGCCCAAAATTTACTGCCTGTATTGAAAATCTATAATTTACATCACGTGCATTACAGATTCTCAGTATTGGCAGTAAATTTTGAAACAGCTATTACAACATGAAATCTTTTTACATGCTCCTAAATCGTTATCACCTGCTACTGCTTAATCGTTGCTGCACGGTCGGATTACTGTAACGTCATCTCGCGCCTCACTATGAATCAGTCTGGTGTAATATGACGGCACCGTGTGTGAACGGCGTAATTCTAAACTTTGGCCACGTACGCCATTAAGGAATGAGACGCGCATCTTACAGAAGTAAGCACTTATTCGCACTATTAAATAGTAGGTCTCATAATACAAATTACAAGAATATTACACTTCAATCTTAAAAACATAATATTTGGCACACTGTAAAGTCTTAATTTCTAGTAGGAACATTTTGTAGTATTTTCATATACTATTTAATGGCGATACAAAACTGAGATATTCATCGCACCGTCATTTGCGATATTCGAATATATACATATACATACATATATATATATATATATGTGTGTGTATGTATGTATGTATTTTTTTAATCTCTTTCGGCCGATATAAAATTTAAAACATTTCAATTCCTAAAAGAAGCTAAGAAGATTGAGAAGCTAAGAACTATGAAGTTAGTTTCACAGCAAGATTGAAGAATACTGAATAGGTTTTTTTCTAGCGTTCCTAAATTCTCAAGCATTAAATACACATCTTGAAATATATTTATCTCTGTAAAGATAAAAATATTATTACAATACAATATTAATTATAAGAGGCATTAAATGCCTTTTCCTATATTCGAGAAATCACATTTACACATTCTTGAAAATCACATACGGAGATTAAATTAACGCTTAGATTATTATTAATTAAAACTTATGAACAGAAAATAAATTTTTAATTTTTTTGAAAAAGAATTGAAATGTTTTAAAGATCGTGCGATTTAATAATTATTCGTAATGTAATCTGTTAAATGTCGTGAACAAATTTGTGAAAATTTTACTTAAATTAGCCGTTTTAATCTGATTATTGAAATGGAATAGAATCAAAACGTACAACGTTGAATTAAGTTATCTTGTATGTATGTCTTATATTCTATATTTAAACTTTAAACATTTTATATCGCACAGATAGTGGAAAAATAGAAAAAAAAGTTTCTAAATTTCACTGAAATTTCAATGTTAACTTGTAATAATAAATGGAACACTTCAAACTTATCTGACAATGAGTGACAGATAGTTTTTTACAAAGAAAGGAGAAAAAAACTACACTTTCTGTTACAAAATTGTCTCCTCGTAATTTGCATAATTTGATAAACTTTTCAAAACAATTAAAAAAAAAATCATTTATCGAGGAAGCTCTTTGATAAATTTAATTCGCACATTCTCTTTCGAAAACAAAACTAGGCTGAAAGAGATTTCTCATCTCTCTTCTATTATCTTCACTGTCAACGAATATAATATAATCTTTATAATGTACACATTTACTTTTAATTTAATATATACGTATAATATATATAAAACGTGTGGTAACAATATGAAAACAAAACATGTCCTTTAGTGAATCTTGAGGAACACCAGAAAGAAGAATATTGACTGGGAAAAAATCATGTTTTTCATGAACTGTCAAATCCACGAAGCAAAAGCTAGCTGTGTATATAAACATGGAGGAAGCGTGATATTAGCAGCTTTTATTTCGATGGCCTTGACAATATCGTGATGAAACTAACAGTGACAACACCTCATATCTAATGTTCCGTCTGAACGTGATAATAGCGCATACAATGTACAGAATTGAGAATAGGTCATTTTATATCCAATGGATGGGATAGTTAGATGAAGGAGTGGATAGACGGATGGGAAAGAAAGAGGGGATGGAATAAATAAAACGTTCGTGAAAACGTATAAAAATTATAAGTACAATTATTATGGTCTAAGAATTTGTAATGAAGGGTCTCACGTAAAGGACACGTTTCCACAAACAAAATATTGATATACAGACGATAACTCATGCGCACATAACATTTTATACATCTTATATCTTATAAAAATAAAACGTTTAAATTAATATCACTGCTCAAATAAGAGCATCGAGATCAAATGATTACTTTTATGTTCTTCAGTCAAAAAGTTCAATATCAGTAGATAGTCTCACATTTCGACAATGCGGATTTCAAAACTTGTGTAAGTGCACGAATTTAAATGATATGCGCATAGAGTTATCTCTTGTACATTGGTATAACTCTCTTATATCTATATATACCATAACTATATCTTATCCTAGACTATATATATATATAATATATATATATATATAGCATAAAATATAAAAACTGAACATTTCGACACGTTAAGGCACATGTTATCATCACATATTTTATTTTCAAAACTAATAATATATGTATATATATATATATATATATATAGAGAAAATTAATAATTTTAATAACAGTTCGCGAAGATGCAATCATGACGTAAATAACATAATTGTCGAAACGTTTCGCTGAACGTTACTATGAAAAAATAAATAAAAATAAATTAAAATAAAGATGTGCGTGTGTCTTGATTGCAAAAATTAGATGTTAACTTTATGCTACGAGGAAATAAATTT